CGCCTCACCCGGCTAATTTTTTGCATTTTTAGTAGAGACGGGGTTTCACCGTGTTAGCCAGGATGGTCTCGATCTCCTGACCTCGTGATCCGCCAGTCTCGGCCTCCCAAAGTGCTGGGATTACAGGCGTGAGCCACCGCGCCCGGCCCGCTATGTTTAATTCTAACCAAGGAGAAGAGGAAGTTCCGAAAGGAGAACAAGGAGAGCTGAGAACACAGCTCGGGACTGGCCAGGGGCCTCCTCTCAGAAAGCTCTCCCTGTTGTGTCCCTCCACACCGGGGCCTCATGGAGTGGGCACGCTTTTTGATACCTGCCTTGCTGACTTTCAGCTCTGATTTCTTCATCTGAAAGTGAGGATAAAAGAACCCCTCTTTCTAGTCAGATGCCTGCTAGATTCATTTGCCTGCTTGCATTTGAGATGTATTGCCAGGATACACCTCCACAGTCTGATGGAACACACTGAATATATCTTAACAACAAAAGGTAACAATACATTTTAATAATTTTTACTTATTTTGCCTGAAACATTAGGATTCTGTCCTTATCTCAGTCCCATGTTTTTTGGTTTTTGGTTGTTTTTTTTTTTTGAGACGTTGTCTCACTCTGTTGCCCAGGCTAGAGTGCAGTGGTTCAGTGGCACAATCTCAGCTCACTGAAGCCTCCACCTCCCAAGTTCAAGCGATTCTCCTGCCTCAGCCTCCCGAGTAGCTGGGATTACAGGTGCCCGCCACCACGCCTGGCTAATTTTTGTATTTTAGTAGAGATGGGGTATCACCATGTTGGCCAGGCTGATCTCGAACTCCTGACCTCGCGTGATCTACCTGCCTCGGCCTCCCGAAGGGCTGGGATTACAGGTGTGAGCCATGGCGCCTGGCCCCTCAGTCCTGTGTTTTGAATTCTGTTGTTTCTTTTCCCCCATTTTCCCTCCGGTTATTTCTTCTGACCTGTTTGACCTCCCTTGGGAAGACGCACTCTGCTTTTGATGATGATGATTGTGAAAATGCACACAGACCGCAACACAGTTGAAGAATTCTACGTTGTGTGATAAGGTGCTTTTGTTCTACCTACTGTCATCATTATAATAGTGCTCCTTCGATTAACACCGTTTTAAGACCACTCCATTGTCATTTGTGAGCTCTCAGACTTCCCACTAACATACGCCATCTCTCGCCGTAATGTTTGTCAGTATTGTCTGTGAATTACACCTCCTGCTATTACATAGAAAGAGATCCGTGCCTTGGTATTTGCAGGGGATTGGGCCCAGGACCTCCCTCCTGTACCCAAATCTGCACATAATCAAGTCCCCCAGTGCCCTGCAGAACCCACATCTATGAAAAGTTGGCCTTGCATGTGCAGGTTTTGCCTTCTGTGAATACTCTATTTTTTGTTGTTTTCGAGACAGGATCTCTGTCACTCAGGCTGGAGTGCAGTGGAGTGACACCACCATAGCTCACAGCAGCTTCAACCTCCCTCAAGCAATTTCCAACCTCAGCCTTCTGAGCAGCTGGGACCACAGGTGCACACCCACCATGCCTGGCTAATTTTTTTTTTTTTTTTTTTTTTAGGTCTTTGTAGAGACGGCATCTCACTATGTTACTCAGGCTGGTCTTGAACTCCTGGCCTCAAGCCATCCTCCTGCCTCAGCCTCCGAAAGTGCTGAGATTACAAGTGTAAGCCACTATGCCCAGCCTGAATACTGTATTTTTTATGTGCTTGGTTGAAAAAAATATGTGTATAAGTGGATGCTCACAGTTCACACCCTTGTTCAAAAGTCAGTTGTGTTCTCCTGAGTAGGGTGTGTGAATGAGATGCACATGAGTCCCTGCAGGCCTGATCACCCCGTGGTGGGCAGAATCCTGGCCTCCCAAAGATGTCTAGATCCTAATCCCCAGAACCTGTAATGATGTTACCCTGCATGGCCAAGGAGAATTAGGTAGCAGATGGAATTAAGGTTACTAATCAGCTGGCCTTCAAACACGGAGATTATCTTTTCTGCACATGGCACTGGGAAAGTGATATTCACATGCAAAAGAGTGATGTTGGTCCCTTACCTTTCACCAGACAGAAAAATTAACTGAAAATAGATTAAAGACCTAAACACGAGACCTAAATCTATAAAACTCTTAGAAGTAAACGGGGAAAGCTTCATGACATCGAAGCTTTCATGACATTCCTAATTTGACAATGATTTCTTAGATATGGAACCAAAAGCACAGACAACAAAAGGAAAAATAGCTTAGTTGGGCCAGGCATGGTGGTTCACGCCTGTAATCCCAACACTTTGGGAGGCTGAGGCGGCTGGATCACTTGAGGTCAGGAGTTTGAGACCAGCCTGGCCAACAGGGTGAAACCCCGTCTCTACTAAAAATACAAAAATTAGCCAGGTGTGGTGGCACGCACCTGTAATCTCAGCTACTTGGGAGGCTGAGGCACGAGAATCACTTGAACCTGGGAGGCAGAGGTTGCAGTGAGCCGAGATTACTCCACTGCACTCCAGCCTGGGTGACAGAGCAGGACTCCATCTCAAAAAAAAAAAAGGTAAATTGGATGTCATTTAAAAAATGGCATTGAAGGACATAACAATGAAAAGGCAACCTAGAGA